TACGAAATTAAGTTAAGGAAATGGTCAGAAGAGTCTAGTGTGTGATATCCATCAAGCATTGTCATTTGTGCCTCTTGTATCACAGCATATGAATTATGAATATGTAGATGGTTTGCATTGGTGACATTAACACTGATAAACTAAAAGTAGCATTTGGGCCTGTTTTTTAAAAATAATTGTTTAGCAAATTCATGCAGAGTTGATTATATTTAATCATAATAACCATATATCAAAACTGCATGAATTTACAATATTGTAGAAACAACTTTTGAGCTGTAGATAGTCCGCTATCTACAGCTTAGGAGATGGAGACTGAGGTCCAGTGTTGGGGATCTCCCCTGCATTAGCCCTCAGCCCTCAACTCAATTAATTTTGCAACATGCTGACTTTGAGCACGGCAGTTCGGTACATCAAGCCAAATCACTGGCCGTAGCACTTTGGCACACCGCCACAGATCGAGTTTGATTTGACGCCACACTTGCTCTCATGGGGACCCTGAATGGTGGACCTTTTATCTTCCCCATGTATTTCAGGCTTACCATGACCAGTAATGAAGATTTTATACCCTTAGTAGAGGCATTAAGGTTTGTCCCTTTATCAACCAGACTCTCTGAATCTAACTCCTCTGGTTTACTGACTCCTGACTCTTCTTTGATCATGGCTCTGAACACTGCTACTACACCCCCCTCGTTGACACAAGCTGTCAACTTAACCTATCCCAAATCATCTACCACCTTCAAAAGATACCCCTTCCTCACTTCCAATATCCTCCAACCCCCCACAATCGTTTAAATTTTCTACCTCCTCCTCCCTTATTACAGCTCTTCAACCTTATTGACTTCATCTGCACAATACTATCTCAATCCACACCACTCCCTCCTCCACTATTCCACCTGTCCTTGCCCCTCTATAATTCCCACTTCTACAAACCTTTTGAGTACCATATTTAGTCCAGCCAAATGGACTGATTTTTTGTGATTTCCCAACAGATCCTTACTCCAATAATACCCTACTCTTTCAATAATGCCTCCAAAAACAAGTTTCCTTCTGCAGTCTTCCTGACATCTCACGTTTTGTCACATCTGAGTCCCAAGCCCATGAACTATCTACCCTGGTTGACCTCACTGGTAAACCTATTCCTTCCCAACCCCACTCCTCCCTTACTACATGGACTGGAACTGGCTCCCATACTGTATTTTATAGGGGATGCCTTGCCTATAAGTTTGAGTCTGAGGTAGCACTTCTCAGATGCAAACTTGGCTTCACTTTAATAGAAGCCAGACAGGAAGCATGCTGACAAAGTTTTAAAATCACTCCCTACTCCAATACTATCCTTCCTTCCACTCCTTTCCCCTCTACTCAAGTAGTCTCTACATTTTCCTCAGTACCACTACCCTCTTCTCCTCAACTTCCCACCTCTACTTCCCCCATCTCCCAGTCAAATCCTTTTTTTTCCATTGTCAATCCAGATACTCCAATATCCACAACTCTCCTATGTCTCTCACTACTACTTGCGTTACCTATCTCACCAGACAATCCAAACATTCCACCCCATCTTCTCTTATCACACATCTTCCCACATCTACATCCTCTACTTCTCATATGCTTATCTCCTTTTCACCTCCTCATAAAAAAATCTTTTATTTCCCAAATGTCTCCACCGAAATCCTGAAACCCTTTCAAGAATATTAGAAACTTCCTAAGCATGACTCAAGAGAAAGTTCCTCTCTTTCATCCATCCTCCAATTTCTCTGCCCCCTTTCTGGCTACAGTCAAAGTGACTAATGACATCCATCCTCCTCCTCCCCATATTCCATCAACCCCTCTTCCCCTCACTCCTTCCCAATATCATACAACCCATCCATTATCTGTCTCCAAATAAACCTTCCTGACACATCCTCCAGTACAGATTGCAAATTATCAATTTGCATAATTCCCTGATTCTCTGTCTGCCTCCTCCATACCCTTCCATCATAAAACACCATATGTTATACTTCCCTTACTAACCAGTCTACCTTGCACAGTTATCCACATTTTTCTCTTCCACTGGATTATAATTGTTTCAGTCTACTTCTTCACTTCCTTACCTATTGACTTTATAACTTTTGAAATCTTACTTACCCAACTCCAACCACCTTTCCTGATGGTAGGAGATTTTAATTGTTGCCACACCCAGGTGACTTTGGGAGGTAATGGTGGAGTCACCCCTTTCCTTAGAATAGTTTCTCTCAATACTAATCTTATCCTACTGAATTTAAACCTTCTCACTCACTTGACATCATTTTTTGCTCCCTGATCCACCCAAATCAAACATTCCACTTTCTATCCTCCTCACACATTTTCTTTCATATATCTCTAGTATTCATGTTTGGAGGTTCCAAATCCACTTCAGGTACTGCTTTTGCTGTAGTCTTACCTTCTCACAATACAACTTTCCCCTTCCTCCTGAATCAAGCATCCTTACAATAGAACTATATGCCATCCTCTTTACTTTACAATGCATGTCTTCCATCTCTTCCTCATCCTTCACCATCTTCACTGACTCACACAACTCAATTTCACCCATACAATCCATACATCCTATCAACCCTGTAGTCCATAAGATACAAAACCAGTAGTTTTATCTGTCTTTACAACAGAAAGCAATGAAGTTTTGCTTGACAACCAGCCCTGTCAGGATCCCTTGCAATGAACAAGCTGATGCCTTATCCACAACTCACTAACCCTGCTTTTCACACTTACCAGCCACCTATTACTACCTCCACTGCAAAACTTATCAATTAGCAGTCTTTCTGGTCAGGTTTGACTACAAACAACTTCAAACCATAAAATATTCCATCTCCCCTTGAGCAACCCCATACAACCAGAACCGAGGCTGGGAAGCTGCTCTTGCCTGTTTACAAATAGGTCTCACCCAACTCATGCATTCGTAACTTATGTCATACTCCAGTCTACCTCTATGCTCCACATGAAATGTTCCTTTCTCAGTCTCATATATCTTGTTATCCTTTACTGAAACCCATACCCGCACTTTTCCTTACTTGTCCTCTCTTCCCTGATCCCCCAACCTGTCAAAACTTCCTCAACAGAATCCCCCACCTTTTCAGTTAACAGCCTGTTCAACTTCCTCAGATGCATAGATACCCTCCATTTGATCTAATCACCCTTTGTCCTTAAACCTTAGCCCTTCTATCAGTCCCTATCCTACCTCATTTACTCCCCCTCTTTCTACTCCTTTCACTACCATACTATCTTATAATGCCATATGGCCATTGAAATCTAAGACATTTTGTTCTAATAAAGAACTTCCTTAAACCCCTCCTACCATAATACTTTACCATGGTGCTATATGACTTTTGATGTCTAGCATATTTGTTTGTTTAAAACATTGGACATTAAGAAAATGTGGACGCAGAAAGCTCCCTGGCCAAATAAGCAAAATGTTGCAGCCAGGTATGGGCTTATTACACTCAAGTGGCCATGCCTGAGGTTATGCAGTACTAGATCAGTGATCTCGGTTGATTTGACGCCACACTTGCTCTCATGGGGACCCTGAATGGTGGACCTTTTATCTTCCCCATGTATTTCAGGCTTACCATGACCAGTAATGAAGATTTTGTACCCTTAGTAGAGGCATTAAGGTTTGTCCCTTTATCAACCAGACTCTCTGAATCTAACTCCTCTGGTTTACTGACTCCTGACTCTTCTTTGATCATGGCTCTGAACACTGCAACTACACCCCCCTCGTTGACACAAGTTGTCAACTTAACCTATCCCAAATCATCTACCACCTTCAAAAGATACCCCTTCCTCACTTCCAATATCCTCCAACCCCCCACAATCGTTTAAATTTTCTACCTCCTCCTCCCCTATTACAGCTCTTCAACCTTATTGACTTCATCTGCACAGTACTATCTCAATCCACACCACTCCCTCCTCCACTATTCCACCTGTCCTTGCCCCTCTATAATTCCCACTTCTACAAACCTTTTGAGTACCATATTTAGTCCAGCCAAATGGACTGATTTTTTGTGATTTCCCAACAGATCCTTACTCCAATAATACCCTACTCTTTCAATAATGCCTCCCAAAACAAGTTTCCTTCTGCAGTCTTCCTGACATCTCACGCTTTGTCACATCTGAGTCCCAAGCCCATGAACTATCTACCCTGGTTGACCTCACTGGTAAACCTCCCTTACTACATGGACTGGAACTGGCTCCCATACTGTATTTTATAGGGGATGCCTTGCCTATAAGTTTGAGTCTGAGGTAGCACTTCTCAGATGCAAACTTGGCTTCACTTTAATAGAAGCCAGACAGGAAGCATGCTGACAAAGTTTTAAAATCACTCCCTACTCCAATACTATCCTTCCTTCCACTCCTTTCCCCTCTACTCAAGTAGTCTCTACATCTTCCTCAGTACCACTACCCTCTTCTCCTCAACTTCCTACCTCTACTTCCCCCATCTCCCAGTCAAATCCTTTTTTTTCCATTGTCAATCCAGATACTCCAATATCCACAACTCTCCTATGTCTCTCACTACTACTTGCGTTACCTATCTCACCAGACAATCCAAACATTCCACCCCATCTTCTCTTATCACACATCTTCCCACATCTACATCCTCTACTTCTCATATGCTTATCTCCTTTTCACCTCCTCAAAAAAATCTTTTATTTCCCAAATGTCTCCACCCAAATCCTGAAACCCTTTCAAGAATATTAGAAACTTCCTAAGCATGACTCAAGAGAAAGTTCCTCTCTTTCATCCATCCTCCAATTTCTCTGCCCCCATTCTGGCTACAGTCAAAGTGACTAATGACATCCATCCTCCTCCTCCCCATATTCCATCAACCTCTCTTCCCCTCACTCCTTCCCAATATCATACAACCCATCCATTATCTGTCTCCAAATAAACCTTCCTGACACATCCTCCAGTACAGATTGCAAATTATCAATTTGCATAATTCCCTGATTCTCTGTCTGCCTCCTCCATACCCTTCCATCATAAAACACCATATGTTATACTTCCCTTACTAACCAGTCTACCTTGCACAGTTATCCACATTTTTCTCTTCCACTGGATTATAATTGTTTCAGTCTACGTCTTCACTTCCTTACCTATTGACTTTATAACTTTTGAAATCTTACTTATCCAACTCCAACCACCTTTCCTGATGGTAGGAGATTTTAATTGTTGCCACACCCAGGTGACTTTGGGAGGTAATGGTGGAGTCACCCCTTTCCTTAGAATAGTTTCTCTCAATACTAATCTTATCCTCCTGAATTTAAACCTTCTCACTCACTTGACATCATTTTTTGCTCCCTGATCCACCCAAATCAAACATCCCACTTTCTATCCTCCTCACACATTTTCTTTCATATATCTCTAGTATTCATGTTTGGAGGTTCCAAATCCACTTCAGGTACTGCTTTTGCTGTAGTCTTACCTTCTCACAATACAACTTTCCCCTTCCTCCTGAATCAAGCATCCTTACAATAGAACTATATGCCATCCTCTTTACTTTACAATGCATGTCTTCCATCTCTTCCTCATCCTTCACCATCTTCAGTGACTCACACAACTCAATATCACCCATACAATCCATACATCCTTTCAGGCATTCCTCTTTTCAGTTTATTGACAAAAGTATATAAAAAGTTTTCTGCCAACCTTTTCAGACTGAACTTTTGCCTATGTTTGCCTATGGATTATTTACTGCAATTTGAAGAATTTAGTGAAGGCATGTCAGTGACATTTGAAAAGGATTTCTAACTGACAGACCATTTGCACCCAGTTTGCAGCACATTTCAAAGTTTGAGAGTTTCATATTTCTCTGAAATTACTTTTATTGTAACAATTAGGAATGCAAATTATCTTTTTTATACTCTGATCAGATGTTCTCAGAAGTAGATTATATATGATATTAGGTAGTAACAAATATTTACGTGTTATTCAGCAATAACATTATATTGAATATATGTATGTATGTATGTATGTATGTATGTATGTATGTATGTATGTATGTATGTATGTATGTATGTATGTATGTATGTATGTATGTATGTATGTATGTATGTATGTATATATATATATATATATATATATATATATATATATATATATATATATATCTGTGTGTGTGTGTGTGTGTGTGTGTGTGTGTGTGTGTGTGTGTGTGTGTGTGTGTGTGTGTGTGTGTGTGTGTGTGTGTGTGTGTGTGTTATTCATTAAATGAAAAATACTTAATACATTTTTTCCTTTTTGATTCATTGCAGGGATTTGATATCTTAACAGCCTACAAACACTGGCGGCATGGGGACATCATCTGGTTCTCATTTACAGTTGTGTTCATCTGTGTTCCATCCTTTGTAACGACAGGAGTTTCCTTACACTGGTGAGTATTGTGGATACATTCTCCCACCTCTTTCTTTCCCAAGATTGCCATACATCTGTTTTGAATAGTGATACAGCATTACTAGTTTCTAATAGATACAGGATTCATTTCCCAGGTACGTCAAAGATGCAGACAATACTAACGTGCCTAAGGCCTCAATGTCTCGCTGGGCAGTTCGAATATTGTTCCATATTCTGCAGCTCGGCCCTATACTCAGGTAAGCTGTTGGTATTTGCAGGGACTGAGTAGCCTGTAAACTACCAGTGCAATTTTTTTGTTTTTTTTGTTTTGTTTTGTTTTGTTTTGTTTTGTTTTGTATGGATTTACTAGTTAGATTTGAGTCATGAATGTATAGCATTGGTAATTTAACTCAATGCTGAGAGGATGGCAAGAACATGTATAGTATTTACTGTGTCTTTTTGTTTATTGATTGTCTATACACATAGATGGTTCCACAAGTACAGCAGGGAAGATTTTATTTTCTATTGCTATTAGTATTCTTAATAACTATATGATAATCATAATAGAATAAAAAGAATATTTTCCTTGAAAAGTCAGAAGGAAAAGGAAAATCAGCCAAGAACACATTGGCTTACTAATTGGCTCATTTGTTGTTGAGTACTTGTGGAGTCATGAATGTAAAAAAAAAAAAAAAAAAAATCAAAAGAAATGACAATAAAGGGAGTAATTTACCTGGTACTACTGAGTTAGTATATATACTGTGAAAGGAAGAAAATTATAGTCTGAAAATACTAGTTTTAATCCATTGGTTTTGATTGCTTCACAACAATCATATGGCCCAAAATATAAGCATTAGGCTTAGATGAATGGCTACTCTGACGGGTGCTTGGCTTTTAGGCTGGGTGTACTTGAGTACTTGTGTGTGGTGACAAGGCTCTATGCCTCCCCCCTGGAATGTTTTTTTATTTTCTCTTTTTGCACATAAGCATTTTTAGCTTTTTGCCATTTTCCAGTGTCTATGTTTGTCCATTTCCATTATTCAATTTACTTTATGCAGATGGTAATTAACTGTTTTCCTTGCACAGACTCCATAACATCTATCTAAATAGTCCATAACTCAGTGTAAGAATGATAACTATATATATATTTTTTTTTTCTTCTTTTTTCTGTATAGCATTCAATTTTCTGTAATACAACCTGCAATGACAGTCACAGCAGCCAGCAATAGGATACTAAGCATGGAAATGGCATCCTTCATGAAGCCGGCACTCTTGCAGTCATGGCTCATGGACACTACATTCCACATTCGTTTATTGATGGGAATAAAGCAAAAGCCCCTTTTCAAATGCCGAATCTGTCTAATCACCATCCAAGAGGCTTGTGCACTCATAGTGAGTCTTTCCTGTCATTGCAGCCTTCAGATTGACCAAGACTTTCTAGTTTTTGATATTACAAATATAACTTGACACTGATATAGCAAGTGGCTAAAGTCATTTTGAAGTTTATTTATGTCACATTTATGAGGAAATAATAGTATATTGTTGTTAGACCAGGAAATATCTTGATGGAACCATATGCATAATATCAACAGTACTAGTATTTCCAGTCAGCTGTTATTTTTCATTTAGAAATGTATAAACTGTACTTTTGAACAGTAAACAACGTACAGATATAACAATGATCACCATTATTATCAATGCCATGTCAAAAAATTATTGTTGGAACCTTTGACAGTTTATCGATCAAGCTTGCGTGTCTGCTATAGTGATTGCAAGGCTCGGGCATAACATGTTTTTTTCATGCACACTTTGTGACTTCTAGATGCTGTTTAGACTTAGTGGTTGTTGCACTGAAATAAATTGGATAGGTTGGATAATTGTTGCTAATTGTTCTCTGTCTCTCTCTGTCTCTCTCTGTCTCTCTCTGTCTCTCTCTGTCTCTCTCTGTCTCTCTCTGTCTCTCTCTGTCTCTCTCTGTCTCTCTCTGTCTCTCTCTCTCTCTCTCTCTCTCTCTCTCTCTCTCTCTCTCTCTCTCTCTCTCTCTCTCTCTCTCTCTCTCTCTCTCTCTCTCTGACATTCACACTTACTCAATTACTCTCACACATTTAATCATTCACACTCGCTGTCATTCTCACTCAATCACTCACACTTACTTATTAACTCTCAATCACTCACTCACTTAATCACTCACACCCATTCAGTCACTCACATTAACTAAATAACTCTCAATCACTCGCACTCACAAACAGCCATATTATTAAACGTCCCGACTTTTCTGTATTATTAAAGTTCTGTGGATGTTGCTCACTCTGCCCCTGTACAGTTTTGGAACAAATGCAGAGCAGCTTTGTGCATCCTGCACCAGGCTCTGCAAAATGAGGATTTAGGATATACTCATATGAACACAAGTATTATATCAAGATTATTTTTAAATGCTATTTATGTCTTTTATTTTACTATATGATGTAAAGAAAATATATAACTAGTTTTTAAAGACTAATGTTGCATCATTTCAGGTGGTCTGTACTGCCTGAATGCTTCCATATGAATATTTGCAATATATTATTACAGTTTTCAAAAGTTACATATATTAATGACTCTCAACCTCATATTTATTAAGAAAAACTTTTATTTTGCTCTTAACCCATTGCCACCGGGGAAAATGAAAAAAAAATGGGGGAAATGCAGTACTCATTTTTTATATTTTTGTGAAATATCTCTGCCCATAGATGGCTCTGCTAGTCCTGATTTCACCTTCCCTTGAATTGGCGGTAAAAAACATATTTTTACTAGTGCTATAAATATAGATGTTGTTATTTTTAACAGCAAATTAGGATAACGTTAAATATTTTCGTAATTGGCTCATTGGATACTTAGTACAAGTGTAGCCATCTATGTGTAAAAACAATCAAACAAGTCAACTCACAGTGGGCATGGCATGTACGTACATGCCATCCCAGCGGCAATGGGTTAATATATATGCATATCCATCTATAACATAAGCTTTGATATAGCTATGTTAATGTACCAGAAATGTTAGATAGAGTGCATTAATTTGAATATATTGATGCTTGTGTTATCGGTGAATGTTAAAATTAACAAAACATTTAACAAATGCAATTTTGGGTAATTGGATGTGGGTGCATTTATATATGTAGACCAGTCTATATAGATACACACATATTAATATATATATATATAGGATTATAAAGTATATACATCAAGCATCAGGCATACCAACCAGTCCCCGCAGAAGTCAACAGGGAAGAGCCTAGCCTGGGCAGTTTGATAATACGGTTTTCGAGTGAGGGGCTCCCTGTACCCTTCCCTGGGGACTGAATTGTGGGGCCTGCATTTGCATTTTAATAGTACAACTTTAAATCACTCACACTCACTCAATCACGCTCACTCTCAATCACATACATACCCTTTTCTTCTTCTTCCTATTCTTCTTCTTCTTCTTCTTCTACTTCTTTCTTTTTTTTTTTCTTTTTTCTTTTTTTCTATTTGCATTAGTAATAATTCTCTTGCAGTCAAATAAAGTATGAATGAAACTCCCAAGTATTACACATGTAGTTACCAATAACTGCTTGTGCATGGCTGTCAATGTCTCCAACAGTGAATTAGTATAGAAAATACAAAATTAGTTTTTTCCTTGCATAAAGATCTCATTGAAAATTTAATGACAAATGCAATACCAGTGTTTATGACATTCTGTATATAATACTTTTAACATATTCTCTGTTTAACAATAATGTAGTAAGTGTGGTGTGCATTAGGGTTTAAATTTTATTTCAGCCACTTGCAGCATTAATAGCAATGATGGTAAAACTGAGAGTGTCTTAACCAAAATCACAGGTCTTATTTTGCTACCAAATAATGTTACTAGATAGCATTTGGTGACAAGGTTTAGCATGTATGGTTGGAAGTGCCACTGACTGTACCTTATATAGTCACTGTTAGAAAGAGGTATAATACCTGTTTCTGAGATAGGGAATAGAACCACTGACAGACCTCCCTTCTTTTATAAAAACAGTTAAGAAACTTAGGAGAAAAGAATTGTGAATGCAATTACTAACCTTCAGCATATAAAGCAAATTAGACATTCTATTAGTATCTTTGTATTATACCAAAGACACAAGTACTTTCTTGGCCTTTCTATCACTTTTGGGAAATGAATTCTCAGCAAAAGATATTAATACTGCTTCATATTGCTAAACAATTATTTTACCTTTACCTGAATCAGTCTACAGATTTCAGAGCAGCAAAGGCACGAACATCACTTGGTATTCATAGAAGCAACAGCTGTGTTTCCTGACTATCCCGTGACACAGATAAAGATTTAAAAAAATACTTGATAGATAAGATATTGTCATTGATAAAGTATAAGCCTGAGTGCTTCTGAACTTTCTAGGAGAAGCGGGGGTATATGTATATTTTCATGAGATGGATGTAAATTGAAACATCCACTAAAATTAATATAGTATTCAGTCAAGTTATATGTAAATATCTTCAGCTGAAATGTTTCTTCTTTCATTGTATTTTCATTTTCCTCAGCCCTGTAAATATCTGTATGTTATTATCACCAATAAGCATGTATAATAGTAATAGTGGTATTGATTAATCTGAAAATCATAGTGCTAATGACTATTGTAATTATATCTAGTATTTCTGTAATGTTTATGTATTGCATTTCAATTAATGGGCATTGCTTTTATATCCATTTTCTAGATATATAGATTCCTTGCATTATGGCCTCATCAGTCGCAGGCACTGGAAACAGGGAGAGAGAAAACTCCAGATCGAATATTATACCTACATGCTGTATGAAGAAGGCGACTCGGTTTTCCTTAGGCTGTTTGAGTGCTTCATGGAGGCAGCTCCACAGCTCGTCCTGCAACTGTACATCCTGTCACTCGTGCGCAAGTCAGAATATGGATCAGATTGGTGTTAGTGTTGATGTTTTTCATGTGTATGATAGATTTTAGGGAGAGGAAAAGAGAGAGAGGGGTTAGGGGGAGAGAGAGGAAGAAAGTGGGGGAAGGGGAGAGGAAAAGAGAGAGAGGGAGGGGGAGGAAGAGAGAGAAAGAGAGGGGAAAGAAGAGAGGGGGAGACAGAGAGAGGAAAAGAAAGGGGAAGGGGGGAAAAGAAGAGAAGTGGGGAGGGGAGAAGGAGGGAAAAAAGGGGAGGGTTAGGAAGAGAGAGGAGGAGGGGGAGAGAGAAAGAGAGAGGAGAAGGGGGGAGAAGAAGAGAGAGGGGATTAGGGAGAGGAAAAGAGAGAAGGGAGGGTGTGAGGGAAAGAGAGAACGGAGGGTGAAGAAGAGAGAGAAAGGAGGGTGAGGGAAAGAGAGAAGGGAGGGTGAAGAAAAGAGAGAAGGGAGGGTGAGGAAGAGAGAAGGGAGGGTGAGGAAGAGAGAAAAGGGGAGAGTGAGTGAGAGGGAGGGGAAGAGAGGAAGAGAGAGAGGGGGGGGAGAGAGGAAGAGAGAGGGGGGGGAGGGGGGAGGGAAAAAGAGAGAGTGGGGGAAGAGGAGGAAGAGAGAGCGAGTAGGGGAAGAGGAGGAAGAGAGAGGGGGTAGGGGGAAGGGGAGGAAGAGAGAAAGAAAGAGATAGATACACAGACAGATAGATTGTACAGCTGGCCAAATAAATTTTCAGCCAATAGAAAAAAATTTATATATTAGAATGAAATAAGATAAATAAAAATTAAATGATAAAGCCATCTGTTGCCTGTATTTGCAGATGCTTTACACACTGATTACCATTTTGACTTGATATTTCATGAATGCAAGTATAGTTAAAGGTTTTAACATTTGATTGAAAAGTTAAAACATGAAATGCTTTCTTATGTATTTCATTTTACTTATTAAATGCGAGTGACAAAATCTGCTCAGACATATTTTGTTATATTTGAAAGCACTATAGAGTTACCAGATAAAATCCTAACACGATAGTCTTAGATCCTCAGATTTCTTTGGCCAGCTGTACCACATATGTATATTTTTTGATGTGTGGGAGGATAAAAAGTAATTATTATTTTAATATCAGTTAGAATTAGTAATCACAGAAGGCAAGGTGATCTGTTGTTGTATCACTTATGTACGTTTTCCAATTTTTATGACAATAAGATGAAGAAAATTTGACAT